CCCTCCCCCCCTGCCCCCCCCCCACTGCCCCTGCCCCTTCCCAACCCCTGCCCTTCCCTGTCCTGCCTCACCTCCAGCCTTCTCCTGGCCCTGCATGGCAGGAAGATGTTATCTTAGTTGGGGACCTGAGTGCTTTCCAGGGGCATCCCCAGCATGAGGCGAACAGACTGGGACAGGTGAGGCAGCCTACCTCTTAGAGCTCTGGAAATTGGGGAGCATCCTAGAGCCCTTGGGAGGCTGAAGCTGGGTTCTGTCCCTGGATCTGTCAGTCACTGGCTGTGGGTCACCCCCCGGGGGCAAGTGTGACTCCCCCACCTGTGTCAAGCGTGAGCTACACCATTCACATAGACCAGGCAAGTTCTTGTCTTTCTACACTGTCAGGATTTATTGAATAACAATAAATCCGTGAGCTCCATTGGTTTGGTCGGCTTCAACTTGCTGAGTGCTCTAGATTTCACTGGATAGCCGAGAGCTGGGAAAGCCAGAGTCTTTTGTTCAAGTCTTAATTATGAATACTGACAGCATGGCAGTCACACATCACACTTCACACCATGGCTCACGGGTCACAGGACAGCCACGGAGGGCTGACTGTGCCTGGTGATCCCAAGAAGCAGAACTGGCACAGGCAGAGCCCACAGAGAGGTGGCAAAGTCCCCGGGGGGCTGGGTAAGATCAGACAGCAGAGCTTATGCGAGGCCGAGAACGTGTTCAAAGGTGAGTCCAGAGAGCCTGGCAGTGGAGGGGCCCCTGGAGGGACAGGGAGGCTGGGAGAAGCCGAAGCTGAGTGACAGAGAACCAGAGTGTGTCACCTGCCATTGCGACTCACGACACATTCACCAGGAGGTCGGACAAGATGACTGAGGTGCTGCCACTGTCCCACTGTGCTAGGGCACTTTTACAGGGCTCAGGGGAGGGGGTTGCAGCTTCCGTGTTCCAATGTGCCCCATAAGCCCACAGGCCTGGCTTCCTCCGGTGTGACTGTGATAGGTCTTGTGCCCACATGCCCCCGGTTTATTGTGGTAAGATTCCAGGCAGCAATTTTTATGAGCATGATTAATTGATTATCAGTTTGTTGTACAGTTATGCTGTACAGCAGGGCGTTATTCTTCTCAATAAGTTTGGTGTCCAACATCTGGTGGCTGTCACCAAGTCATTCTGCCTCAGCCCTGCATCAAAAATGGAGCCAACCACTGCTGTACAAGACCATGGCCTGACAGCTACGGTTGTCTCTACAGAGCGCAAACAACTTAGCCTGCTTCTGCTCAGTTTCCTCACCGAGAAGCTGGGGAGGACGCTCCAGAGAAGGGTGGGTGAAGGCCGAGAGAAGCTGGGAGCAGGCCAGGAAGGGAGGCTCAGAGCCGGGCATACTCTGCCTCTCCCAGCAGGGGCACCTGAACCTCTGTAATCAGCCCACCATGGCCACCCTGAAAAGGTGAGACTGGCCTCTGGCTGGGACCCACATTAGCTCAGCTTTCCTAAGACCCCCCCCACCGGGCTACCATGTTCCCTGCCCAGCCCTGGAGGCTGCAGTCTATGGTGTGGGCTCCAGTGGGCATGCATAATGCCCTCCATGCCTACAATTAAGCCATTGAGGCTGTGAGCTCTCTGGCAGCTAGCTGGGGAGCTCTGGAGCAGTGACAGCCCTTCTCAAATCTGCCTGTTACATGGGCACCAGGAGAGGGCAAGTCCCTAGCTTGTGTTCCCTTCCCCAAACGTCTGGGCCACTCGGTAAGAACTCTGAATGCCCTGGGCCTGAGCCCCTCCCTGGCACTTCTACTGGGCCCTAGACTGGGAGCTCTTGAGGGCGGAGCTGGGGCCATTGTCCTTTCCTGGGTTTCCTGCTAAGCTCAGGGCAGGATACAGAACATGGGAGTCACACTGATGCACACTGTGATTCCAATACCAAAGTCTTCCTTCTCTTGAAGGGACTTTAACTTGCCAGTCTCCAGCTGTATCCTGGGCCCTGCCTGGAGGTGGGCAGTGAGGAAGGAGTGGACGGACCCTGTCCTTGAAGTTCAGTAAGCAGACAGCAGGGTGACAAGCTGTGACAGACTTTGTATAGGAGTATCATTCCCAAAGCCCCTCCAATTTGGAAGCTTTGGGCTTCTCTGTGATATGGCCAGGGACTCCCAGGTCTGCTCTGATTGATCTAGGTTTCTGGGTGCCAGATCCCAGGAATGTGGCCTGGCTGTCTGGTAACTCTCAGGCTGGGATCTGGAGGTAATATGGCTGAAAGTGGAACCCCCATCATCCCCAGGAGTTTGCGCCTTTGAACTGCCCAGGCCTGAGGGGAGATCTGAGTTGAGGACTGTCCTCTTCCAGGCTCCAACAGCTCCAGAGGACAGCTGAGCCCCACCATCTCCCTTCACACAACTTCCTGCCCACTGGCTTCTCCATCCTATAAGCCTTGCCAGCCAATCAGCTCACGCCTTCCCTCCTATGAGGCGGGTGAGACCAATCACATTGGCCTGGTTTCTTGGTTGCTAGGTGCTGGAGGCTCCCTCTGTGCTGCGAGGGATGTGTATTTAGAAGTCCAGCCCCGGTTTGGAACTTGCCAGGGATGTTTCAGGCTCCTGGAAGATGGATTTAAGATGCCCAAGGGTTCTGCCAACCAGCCAGGCTCCAGGTACTCAGGGGAAGAAGAAGCCCTTGTCCGTCCCTGTCTGGGGCAGTCCGGGGTGGTGGTGGTGGTGGTTCCAGCAGAGGTTGCTGAGGAAGGCTTTTCAGACCTTGCCTGACCCAATCCAGGATGTCTTTTAAACCTCCCAGAGGGGCCTCATCGGGTCCTGCCTGCAGCCTCAGTTCTCCCAGAAGCCTCCCTGTCTCGCTGTCAGTTCTAGCACTGTCCTGATCCCTGGGTTTCATCCTGCTCCCCATGTCCCCATGTTCCCTGTAGACCCATGTTTTGGGAACCTGTGTCCCCTCTCAGCCTGAGTCCTGGCCCATACAACCCCCATGGCTCCAGATGCTGGGTGGACAGGACCTAAGAAACTCAGTGGGAAGATTTAGGGAGAAGGGGAAAAGGTCTCAGGCAGGGGGCAGAGATCTGGGGTGTGTGTGTGTGTGTGTGTGTGTGTGTGCATGCGTGAGAACCTGCCTGTATGCATGTGGGTGCTTGCCTGATATCTCTGTGCATGTGTGCATGTGTATGAAACAAAGAGAGGGGCAGGTGTTCCTGCAGCTTGGACTGTGGATTTCCTCACCTACCTCCTCTCCTCATGAGGAGCCCTGTGTCCTGGGTCCTGAGCCTGTTTTCCAGCCTGTCTTACTTCATCAACACAGCAACTTCCTGATGGAAAGTATTAGTGAGCATCCTGCAGGGTGAGAAAATCCAGCTCTCCCTATCAACTGCTCCCACCCCCAGGGTCCCTAGGAGCCGATGTGCCCCTGGTTCAAACTTTTCTGGAGCCCAGGCACTGCTCAAATGCTGTCCAATCAAAAAGCCCACTGCAGATGAAGGGATGGAACCACTGTCCTCCCTGTCTTTTGCTCCTTGGAGCCGCCTGATGTCCTCTGTGCCAAGGCTAATCCTGTTGGGTGCATCCCGGGTTCATGCCAGGCCTGCCCATGTCTCCTGGGTTCACTGACCTGGGATAGCAGGAGGCAGCTGGGTGAGGGCCCCAGCCATAGATTCCACTCCTGTGCCTTCCTGTTTCTATGTCTGCAAGACATAACCATAATGCCTGAGGTCAGACAAAGGCATGGAAAGGGGATCCAGAATGGTAGGGTGCTGGATGCCCACTCTGCTGGCCCATGGGGGTCTCAGTCCTCGAAGAATCTAAGGCCAGAGGCCAGATCTGGCTCACATGTGGCTCACATATACTTTGAAAAAATTAAAAACATGGCCAACATGTTTGAAATGCATATTTCCTGAGCAAAGTCTGGATTGTGGATTCTTTTGAAAGATCACAAGGCACGGTGGGCAGGGGTGGCTGGGGCCTTCAGGCCAGGTCTGTACTCTCTGATCCCTGCTCAATGGACCTACTTCCTTTCACCTGCCTGCCTACCTGGTGGGTGGCATTGCTGACCTATGCCTTTTAGAACAATTGGCATTGTGGAGGGATCTTGTGTCCAAGTGAATAAGTGGAGGGTTCAGCTGCTTCCTAGCCCAATCTCATGCCCAACATGGCCCTGGCAGTGCTCTTGGGAGGGTGACTGCAGCCAGGCAGGAGATGTGCCCTGAGTGTGACTGCTTTTCCTCTCTGGGAGAATCGGATGCCTGGCCCACTACCCTCCTGTGTCCTTCCAAAGCCAGGAGCCAGGATCCTCCCCTGCCCATCCTCCACCAGGCATTCACCCCAATTGATCCTACAGGTCAGACTATTTCATCGAGGCGCATAATTTTTTGAGGGGTTTGGTTTCGGGATTTTTTGACAGGGTCTCGCTGTGTAACCCAGTCTGGCCTTCAACTCAAAATCCTCCTGACTCAGCCTCCTAAGTGTTGAGACTCATACCTGGCTTTGAGGCACATGCTTTACTTAAAAGTTCAGAGGGGTGGAGCTACCCACTGGAGGAGAGGTGTGGCCACTCACGGCCTTCACAAAACTCTAAGAAACAGCAGCCCCTGTGTGTTTAGAGGAACAGTACGTGTTCAAGTTGTTGATTTACCCGCCTAGTTTAAAAAAATGTATCTCGAGAACCAGGACAGCTTCGGGGTCTCCAGGGTCCACAGTAGGAGGCATTTTAGTGGAGAGCCCTGGAGAGCCCACCAGACTCCTGGGAGGCAGGAGATGGGGGCGGTGCTTCTGGGAACTGGCAGATCTTGAGAAATCATGGTGTGGACCGAAGCTAGGGTCTGGGCTCTGGAGGGGCAGGCCTTGCCTGAGTCGTTCTGTGGGTCATGGCCTCACGTTTCTGCCTGGCCCAGGGCTGCATCCCCCTGAACAGGGCAAAGACAGGGCAGCCCAGGCTGCCTCCGCACTGTGTACCATGACACAGGCACCTCACGTCTGCGCACAGTGGAGCAGACAGGTGTGCTGGAAGTACCACATTCTGTGCCACCCTGCCTGGCTTGGGGCAGTCGAGCAGCACCTGGCCGTTTGGGTAAGCAGGATGGCAAACAGTAACAGTCACACGCCTTCTTGGGTGCATGATGTGACGCACTCTGCCTCAATTTCTCATCTGGAAATGGGAACGATGAAGCACTTCCTTTATGGACTGTGAGAATTAAGCGTCACATATACATATCACTCAGAGTGACAAAATGTGATCACTTTTTAACCTCAAGCATTTCTGCCCCAGTTTTGATGCACAGTCCAGTTCTCCCATGGTTCTCCTGGTCTCGCCTCAAGGTCAAAGGCTGGGAAAAGGCAGGCATTCCCTGGGCTCAGAAACTGCAGCAGCATCTGCCAGGCTAAAGAGGAAGCGTGCACAGCGAGGATGGAAAGAAGCAGGCACAGGCGGAGCACATGGGCAAGCTGTAAGTGCCTTGTAGTAGTGGCTGTCACCTGCATGTCTTCGTAGTGTCTCATGCTGGGTCTTGGCCACTCACCTCTCTGGTGTGGGTGAGGCGCTTGCTTGATTTGCAGGCTTAGTCTAATTCAGTGGACTCAAGGACTTTGGAGCCAGCCCATCCTCTACAAGAGTGGAGGCCAGGCTTGGGAGCCCAGGTCAGACCATGTCTTTGTCCTTTGGCCTTCCCTGGAACCTCTGCCATCCCACCTCAACCTATTCCAGGAGCAAGATGAAGCATTTGCCTCATGAACAGCTTAGGGTTGACAAGCATAAAGCCTCATCACATGAGTTATCTCATTCATAATTAGCATAGAATTAGCCTCCACTTGGTGTCTGGAAGGAAGCAGCTACACACGTTTTCTTATTCAATTACCCAATGGCCTCTGGAAGTGGTTATTAGTATTAATTTTATTTTACAAGGGAGACACTGAGATCCAGGGGGATTGGCTGATGCTTAGGCCATTTGGAAGGGATCTTGGAGTCCCAGGGAGGAAGAAGTGAATTCAAGCTTGTGACGTGCTTAGGACAGTGATGAGATGTCCAATGAAAGGTGACTGTCACCTGCCACCCTGGGTTCCAGTGGCCAGGGAATGCACTGATTTGTGTCAAATGCATGATTTGAATTTGGCTGTGTTGGATTTTTCAGGCATTGAGTGCTGGGTGGGGGCCATGAGAATGGCCCCTGGCTCCATTGTGGCTAAGGTCCCATTTAGCTCATGCCTATGGCCATGTCCAGGCAAGACTTCTGGGGCTGGGCTGTGGAGTCACCATGAGGCAGTGTCTGGTGGTCACAGTCCCACTTGTGGATGATGTATTTGGCCTAGGAGTTGAGCATGTTGCAGCCCCTTGGTCCTGGGTTGGGGGGAGTGGCTAGAGCTTCAAAAACCTGGCTTCCCTTCTTGCTTTGACCATGATCTACCCAGACCCACCCCCAGCACAGAGGCCTGGCTTTGCAGTTCAGCTCTGCTGTGGACAACTGACTCATCGTGGGGCCATGGGGATCTTTGCCCCTGTCTGGTTTCAGTGCCATCTGTAATGTGCGTCATGTTGGGGGCAACAGGACTGGCTGTTCTCTCAGCCTGCTCCCAGCCCTGCCATGCCTTGCAGTCAAAGCCCCCAGGGAACTCTGCTTCTCCCCTTTGCCTGCCCCATCAGAGGGGACAGAGTTGAGGCAGGGCACAGAGGACCTGGGGCAGAATAGGATTCAGGGAAGGGGGCAGAAGGAGCCATCCTAGATGGTTCCCAGGGCCTGGCTTGAGCAGCTTTGTTTGTGCGCTCTACTGAGATGGGGACAAAAAAGTGTGAGGAGGGATGAGGAGTTCCATTTTGGATGCACTGGATGTGAGATGGGTCCTTGTGGCCCAGCGGGGAGCAGGGTTAGGACATGATCCAGGGGCTCAGCTCTCTAGCTTACACAAACACACACACACACACACACACACACACACAGATACACCCAAACATACAACTGCAGAAGTGCTCTGTGCAAAGCCAGGCTACTGCAGGCCAGGGGGTTCAAAGAGGATTTATGCAGGCTCATAGGTTGGGATTTTGGAAGGTGATGATGGGGTGAAATAGCTGACCAACTGTTAGGAGGTGGGGCTTCATGGGAAGAGCTGGGTCACTGGGGGCATGGGCTGGCAGAGTCTGTGTCTCTGGCTCCTTCCTTCTCTCTCTGTTCACTGCCATTATGCCTTGAGCAGCTGTCCTCCACCCAGACCCTTCCACCATATGGTTCTGCAGCAGAGCCAGCCAACTATGGACTGCAACCCCTACAAAATGTGAGCCAAAATAAACCTCTCCTCCTTTAATTTGTGGGTGTTGGGTACTGTGTCCCAGCAATGAAGAATGTGACTAGACAACCTTAGAAGATCCTACTCTTGGCCTGGGGCCTGGCACAGGGCCAGGAGCCTTAGAGTAGAGGGACCTAGCCCTCCACCCCCCATTCAGCCCATCTATGGTCATGCTGCAAAGAAACAGACAGAGCGAACTCTCTGACACTCTGAGCTGTAGGACTCTGAGCTGGGATTGCTCATTTTCTAGACAGATCTGCCTCTAGGTATACAGGAGGTGGCCCTTGGGGGCAAGAACCCTGGGCAGCTACTTAGCACTTGTGAGTTGGGCTGCATCCAGAATCTCCCTCGCTCTCCAACTGGTCAGGTGCCACATCCGAGAGTCCCCGGGTGTGGACACTGTCACCCTGAGCTCCTGCCCTCCCAGTCCACACAAAGGGAAATTGTTGGACATTTGTCTCCTGGGTGGAAGGGGATGTTGTCTCTGGAGGAGACCCCTTCCCTTAGTTAGCAGAAGGCCACTGTGCCATGTGTCACAGACAGAAGGGCAGGGAGCTGCTGGGCACACCAGGCTGCAGTAGCGGCAGCAACAGCGGTAGCAACAGTGGGTGCCAACCACTCGCCGTGAGTACGTGGTGTCAAATGGGGTGCATTACTCTCCCTGCAAATTAAAAATTAAAATTAATCAAACACTCAAATTGATTTCCTTCCCGTCTGTTTGCTTGGCTGTGCCAGTCAGATGCCGGCCTGCCTACCGGGCCTAGCATGTCCCGGATTCACGCCAGAGCTGGTGGCTCAGTCTGCTGCTGTGGTCTTGGGAAGGCCATGGGGACTGTCGCACCTGGCTCGAGCCTCAGGAAATTGGGGAACAGTCAACCCAGCCTGGTACCTGGCCCTGAGACTGGGTACTGGGCCCCCAGGAGGCACTGGGTAGAAGGCGGGACTTTAGGGAACACTCCTGGGTCCTTATTGATATACACACATGCTTGGGCCAGTCCTGCCTGTTGTCTAACCTGCTTCTCTGTGGATGGGAGCACGGTTCTAGTGCAGGTCCCCAAACCTGCCCCATCCAGCCCGAAGCCCTGGTCTTCACTCTCCCCAGCCTGCCCCTTGCTTGCCGCGCAGCAGTTGTGCAGCCTGGTGGCAGATGGGTCCCCCCTGGGAAGCAGACTCTGAGGGAGATCAGCTCACAGGGTGTTTGTGGGATTAATGCCCATCAGTGAGGGAGGGGTAGACCCCACATCTGACCTCCCTACAGGGCTGTTTGCATACAGCAAGAGGGGCAGGCAACTGTCCACACCCTGGGCTGGGAGGCATCTCTTGGTCTTTCAGTCTCAGCAGCAGGAGAGGCCCTGTAGGCTCAGAGGCATCTGGGCCCTGCGGTGTCCCCTGCATGAGGGGTGTGAGGATTCCCTGGCAGGGGCTAGCTGACAGCAAATGGCACCGACTCTACTGGAAAGGCCTTCATGTCCCCTAACCCTGTCAGGTCCCACCCCTTCCTCCTACTTCTCTGTTTTTGTGGTGGTGGTGGCTGTACTGGAGATTGAAGCCAAGGCCTTTGCCCTGAGTTACATCCTCAGCCTCTTTGATTTTTAAAGACAGGGTCTCACTAAGTTGCCAAATTGCTCCAGCTGGGTTAGAACTTGTGATCCTCCTGCCCTCACACTTCCAGAGTGCTGGGGTTACAGGTGTCACTACCATGCCTGGCTCCACCCTTTAATTCTGCTTTAGATTCCTTCATGTCCCTTTCTCACTAGACCTCCCATGATGTTCACAGATCTTGGTGATTGGGCTCTGCCCCTGTTCTGCCACCCCTTGACTTAGGTTCATCACTCCAGTGCCCCATATGCAGGGTGGAAGCTGGGCCTCGTGTTTGAGGCTGCAGGGCAAAGCTGGGGGGATTCAGCCCCAAATTGGGACACAAAGCCAGTGTGGTCCCAGACAGGAAGTGGGAAGAGGAGAGGTGGGTGGGGTGCAGAGTGGAATGGCTGCCTGCCTGAATAGCGGGCACTAGGGGGAAGGCTGTTTGTGTCACCTGGCATCCCTGGGGCTCACCAGGAGACCTGGGAAGACGTCCCCAGAGGTGAGTGGGGACAGAGCAGGCAACTGTGTGAGCTCATCTCCCCCAGGCCTTGGGAAGTCTGGCAGAGGTGGAGGAGGTGGCCCAGGAAGGAGGGACAGGGGTCCCAAGGGGGTATCGGGATAGCTGTAGGGTCGAGGTTGGGAAGGACCAGGACAGGAGTAGCAGGCAGCCCTGCTCTGAATCCTTCCTTGTAGGTTCCCACAACACAGAGCGGGACACTGAGGCTGGAGCTCCACGGGGTCCACCCACACGAGCACTAAGGGCTCTGGGAGGAGCTTCGCACTGGGTGGGCACTGAGGTCTGGCCCTTCCCTACCTCCTCAAGGCTTTGGCAGTCTGGGTTCCTCCAGTCCCAGCTCTGGTCAGCAGGGGGAGGCTGTGCTGCGCCTGCTGCAGATGCAGGAGCAGAGCCTGGGACTGGGCTTGGAGGGGAGGAGGGGAGGAGAGTTTCTTTTTGGTCGAAAGGTGAGGATGGGACTTCCGCCTAGAGTTGGCAAGTGGCAGTCCTCCAGATGTCCTGGAACCAAGCTGAGACTCCTCAATTCCAGTCGTCTTCTAAACATACCCGTGACTCCTATTCTCATGTCCAGGTCTTCCCACTTTTTTCTCTCTGTATAAAATGCCCATTCTAGATTCAGCCTGCCCAACTCCTATGCATCCTTCAAAACATGGCTTCATTGTCACCTCCCCCAGGAAGGTTTCCTGGACCTCTACCCCTGAAAGCTCTACTGCCACCTTCCTTCTCATTTCTGAAAATAGCCCCGTGAGTAGCACTCCTGTATCTAGCACAGGATAGGCCATAGGGTAGATGCTTTGTGAACACCTGGGCAGAATGCACCCCTACGCGGGGTTGGGGGACACAGGGCCCCTCTGGAGGGAGAAAGTAGTAAGGAGTGTTGGTCATGCATATGCACTGTACGTGTGTCCGGGATCAGGCTGACCGGGGGCTGGGGACACTGTACTCCCAGGGTGCAGGGAGATCTGGGATTTGAAGGGTCCCTGCCCATTGTAGAGTGTTGTACCCAGCTGGTCTCTATCCTGCTACCCCCATCCCCCACCTGCACAGGCCCCGTGGGCCCGGGGTGCTGAGTGTCCACCCTGGGATTCCAGAGCCCCTAGTTGGGATCTCAGCCCTCCAGAACAGCGCAAGCCCTTTCAGAGCCCGATGCCAATGTCCTCCCAAGGAAGGGTACACTGAGGCGCAGAGTGGTAGTCATTTGCCCAAGGTCACACAGGGGGACTGGGAAGTCACCCTGAGAGCTTGATCTCCTGGCTGGACAGGTGCCCCCACCCTGGGTTCAGATTCCGGACTATGCCTCCTGCCCTTGCTCCAGGGGCCCACAGTCTGGGTGCTTGGCATCCGCGGCCGGAACATCCTCCTTCCCGACTCACCGCCGCCCTGGTCGGACTCTGCGCGCGCGATGCGCTGCGCCTTTAAGTCCAGGAGAGGAACGCGGCGGACAGGCCCGCGCGGGACGTCG